TTAAACTTTTTAAAGACATCAAAACACAGTTGTTTAAACAACACAGAAGTTTTCCCCTCACACTTCATAATCCAGGGACTGGCAATGCGGTTTAGGCCTACTGGGAAAGCTCTCATATTTGACAAATGGCTTCCTACTTCTATGTCCCAGCTGGTTGGTCCACTTCTCATCATCTTCCAACCAGTAAAAAGGATGGAAAGGAACAAAAAACACTTTAAGAGCAACACCTATAAGTGGCTCACATCATTGTCCCTCAAATCTCGCTGTCCAGATCTTAGTTATATGGTCTCACTGACATACAAAGGAGGTTATGAAATGTGTTCTTCAATGGGACACCCACGTGCCCAGATAGAGCTTCAATGAGAAAAGGGAAGAATGGATATTGGTAGAAAACTAGTAGTTTATTATAAGCAGATTTGCAGCATGTGCAGAGCCTAAGAAGGAATATATAAGCAAGAAACTTAGGTGAGAAAATCTTTTAGAATGCAGGACAAAAGGTCATAAAAATTAGAAAGAATGAAGGAAAAGTAAGACACATGAAAGATAAATCCAAACATTCCAAACTATCTCTGACATAAGTTCCAGACAGAATGAAGAAAGTTGACTTAGAAATTAGTCAAAACATAATAGGATCAAGATGGCCAACTAGATGTAAGTAGTATGCGCCTCCTCCATGGAAAGGAACCAGAACAGTAAGCAGATACCCCCATTTCAAACATCATCTAGAAGGGAATGCTAGGATTCACCAAGGAAGTGATGGGAAGCACCAAAAGTAGGTAAGAAGAGGATTCAGTGCAGCTTGCCTAGCCAGGGACTGGCTGAGAGCTCAGAGAAGCTCCTGGACATGGGGAAACAGTAAGAGAGAAACCCCTAAATGCTCAATACTCCAAAAAGATGTTTAGTCTTGGCTACCGGAGAACTTCTCAATCCATGCAGGCTGCAGGCCTAAAAAAGGCAGCTTCCTAGAGATTTCACAGAGACGTTTCTCCAGAAAGGGAACCCACATAGAATCACATAGGTATCTGAAGCTAGAGCAGCTTTTAGCTGGGCACCATTCTGAGAGCCTAAACATCAGAGATCTACAGATGTACCTGCTGCCTCGTGCCGAATTTGAGGTTACACAGCTATAACTGCTGCCTGGCTGAGGAGGGACAGAGAAACCTAAGCCATCCTACATATACCTAGGACAATATCCACCACTCTACTACTGTGAGACCAAGACTTGAGTGGACTGTACTCCCAACAATTTATTGCTCACAGCACTCACCTGCAAGAGGCCCCCCCTTCTTTGATTGCAGGTGCACCGCGAGCACCATTTCGAGAGTTTAACACTGGGCTGAACCCCAACCTTGCATCAAGTTTGAGGTTATGTGGCTGCAGCCACCACCTGGCCAGGAAGGACAGGGGAGAAAAAGCTCTCCTAAGTACACTTAGGATAATACCCACTGACCTGCTACAGGCAGCTGTGGGACTGGGGGCTAGACCACCCAACCCATTGCAGCTACCAGCACTACTATCACAGATGACTTAGGTCCCAGTGGGTGGCTCCACACTGCTATTGCCACTACCCACATCACACCAGCTACCCAGGGGCCTGAGAACCTGCCCACACACACCCAGCCCTCTGCTCCCACTATAAGCTTTTGAGAAACCCATCTGGAGGCCCAAGAATCAGCTCTCCAGGACCCACTAACACCTGTGCCAGTGTAAGCTGCTCTGGGGACTAAACACAGGCACACCCAGACCACTGCTGCCACCACTGGGATCCAAAAACATCATGAAAGTCTCAACTAAATAACAGATGCCAATGACCCTGTGTGTTGCCAAAGAAATCATACAAAGATCACACTACCACAGGTATCCAAAATCAAAGCCAATGTGCCCTAATCAACCAACTATATATATGTATATATATAT